TGTGCTTTGTCATAAGCTTTTAAGTACCAATTGATGTCTTAAACCAAGTACAGGTATTATTTTAATGAAAATTTAAGTGAATTTTTATATAACAGTTACTGACATATAAGCAGACTGTTCACTTCTATACCCTAAGCCTATATATTTAAATTAATTTCTGGACCACTCTACAGGTATCCCAAACTCAGTATGTCTATCGCTAAACTCCTGATTTTAACCAGAATCAACTTCTTCCAAACTCCTGTTAATGTTGATATTCTGACCTCCTCCCATGAATCATGAATATTCTTAATGGCATCTAGAATGGTGAATCCTTTCCAGAAGTTTCTCAATTAACTTTGCCAAGATCTATCAGAGGAATCACTATCTGTGGCAGCTACAGCCTTATAAACTGTATTTCTTAAATAATAAGACCTGAAAGTCAAAATGACTCCTCGATCCACGAGCTGCAGAATAGATGTTGTGTTAGCAGGCCTGAAAAGCACATTCATCTCCTTGTATGTCTCCATTACAGCTCTTGGTGACCATGTGCATTGTGGATGAGCAATAGTATTTTGAAAGGAATCTTTTTCTAAGCAGTAGGTATCAACAGTGGGCTTAAAATACTCAGTAAACCATGTTATTAACACATGTGCTGTCATCCAAGCTCCGTTGTTGCATTGATAGTGCACAGGTAGAGACTTCTTAAGGGCCCTAGGATTTTTGCAATGTTAAATGAGCACTGGCTTCAACTTAAAGTCACCAGCTGCATTAGCTTGTAATAAGAGAGGCCATCTTTGAAGCTCTGAAGCCAGGCATTGACTTCTCTTCTCTGGCTATGAAACTCGTAAATGACATACTCTTCCAATAGAAGGCTGTTCCATCTACACTGAAAATCTGTTGTTTAGTGTAGCCACCTTCATCAGTTACCTTAGCTAAATCTTCTCGATAACTTGCTGCAGCTTCTATACCAGCACTTGCTGCTTCACCTTGCACTTTTATGTTATAGAGACAGCTTTTTTCTTTAAACCTCATGAACCTCTACTAGCTTCAAACTTTTCTTTTGCAGCTTCCTTGCCTCTCTCAGCCTTCACAGAATTGAAGAGAGTTACGGCCTTACTCTAAATTAGTCTTTGGCTTAAGGGAATATTGTGGCTGCTTTGATCTTCTGTCTAGACTACTAAAACTCTCTCCATGTTAGCACTAAGGCATTTTCACTCTCATCATTCATGTGTTCACTGAAGTAGCACTTTTCATGGCTTCAAGAATTTTTCCTTTGCATTCACAACATGGCTGTTTGGTGCAAGACATCTAGCTCTCAGCCTGTCTCAGCTTTTGATATGCCTCACTCACTAAGCTTAATTCTTCTAGCTTTTGATATAAGTGAGAGACATGTGACTCTTCCTTTCACTTGAACACTTAGAGGCCAATGTCATTAATTGGCCTAATTTCAATATTCCTGTGTCTCAGTGAACAGGGAGGCCCAAGGAGAGGGAGAGAGATGGCGGAAAGGCCGGTTGGTGAGGCAGTCGGAACACACACAACATCTAGTATATTTGCCATCTTATGTGGGCACGGTTCATGAAGCTCTAAAACAATGACAATATCAACCTCAAAGATCATCAATCACAGATCGCCATAACAGATATAGTAACAACGAAAAAGTCTGAAATATTATAAAAATTACGAACATGTGACACAGCACATGCTGTTGGAAAAATGCTGCCAACAGACTTGCCTGATGCACGGTTGCCACAAACCTTCGATTTGTAAAAAATACAGTAAGCAAAGCACAATAAAACAAAGTGTGCCTGTATATATTTTTATAAAAATACAATTAAATAGTCTTTAGATGCTAGAGGTAGACAAATATAGATTTGAAAGCCAGCTCTGCCATTAGCTGTATGCTGTTGAACAAGGTAGTTAACTTCTTAATCTTTGGTACCTTCCACTATAAAATGGGGATAAATATTAACAACTAACACATACATTGTAAGAATTAAATAAGCTGTTACATATAAAGTTCTTAGCATTTAACATAGTGCTTGGCAACAGTAATATCCAA